TGAATGCTCAATATACATCTTAAGGGTTAATTTCATGGCATTTGGGTCTTCAGGAAGTATTTGGAACCTCTGATGAGTACTGAGTATTGCACTTATCAAAGATAGTTTGTTTTTAAAATATTCTGACAGTTTTTTTCCTTCAGTTTTTATTTTACTTATTTATCTAGTTACATTATTGTTCATTTTTCAGTAATGTTTACTTCCTCCTTCCCCCATCCATCATCACCATAGACCCCCACATTCCTCCCTCCTCTGATCCCTCTTTGTCCTCCCCTGTAGGATCTCTCTGGTTTATAATTGTCTGTTTTTGAATTGTAATAAGAATACACTCCCCGCCCCTGTATAATGTGTTATTTGGTTCTCTTAAAATTCCTCTTACAAGTGAAACCATTCGATATTTTTCTTTTTCCTTCTGACCTATTTCACTGAGCATAATACCTTCTAGCTCCATCCATGTGCTGTGAATGTCATGAGTTGATCTTTTTTGATTGCTGAGTAGTATTCATATGGAACCACAGAAAACCAAGAATAGTCAAAGCTCTACTGACGAAAACAAAGGAAAATGGAGGTATTATACTTCCAAACTTCAATCTATACTACAAAGCCATAATAATTAAAACAGTGTGGTACTGGAACAAAAACAGACACACAGAACAATGAAACCAAATAGAAAGCCCAGAAATAAACCCATACTTATATGGGCAATTAATCTTTGACAAAAGAGCAAAGAATATGCAATGGTACAAGGAAAGTTTGTTTAACAAATGGTTCTGGGAAAACTGGGCTAACATACGTAAAAGAATGAAACTACACCACTACCTCACACCATGCACAAAAGTCACCTCAAAATGGATAAAAGCCTGAAACCATAAAATATATAGAAGAAAATATAGGTAAAATAAAAATTTTGATATTTTTTAACTTAGTTCATAATTATGATTTTCAAGATAGCTCTTAATATGATCCTTCTATTTTTTTTTTTTTTTAGGTGACCAAACATTCCTGAATGTTTACTTCATTTGGCAGGTGCAGTTAAAGTTGCTCCATGTACAATTCTTCCATCTCTCTGGGGGTAGTACAGCCAGCTAACACCACCACTTCAAACAGATACCCTGTCTCTACTATTTGTTGTGTGATGAAGGATAATCTGCCATTTTTATTACATCTTTGAGCCAACACTATCTCAATAGCATAAAATATTTCCTTTACTCAGTAGAAGAATCAGAAACATGTGAGAAAACACAGGTGATACATATGAACACATTAAAACTATAAGGAATTGTAAAATTGATTCTACTTTTTACTTATTGAATTGAAAAAAATGAATCTTTTCCAATAATGTTGTTTATCTTTAGTTTTATTATGTGATCTTTAAGTTTTATAGCCTTGAAACTGCATCCTACAATCAATTTTTTTTTATTGTTAACATTGATTTACAACACTGTATGTGACTTAGATCAATAGGGTCACATCTCATCACACCCATCATTACAGCACACACGGTACTTTACCAGCCTCTGTCTCCACTTCCTCTCTGCCCTCCAGTTGCCTCCCTTCTGCAGTCAAAAATATCCCTTTTAGGGCCCTTCCTGGTGCACAACAGGTTAAAGTACAGCACTATGAAGTTATTGCAGTCACTGCAGCATGAGCTCAATCCCAGCCCCGGAGGTGATCCATATGGTGTGGCACACCTCTCCTGAAGAGCCCACTGCTCCCCTCAGCAGTGTATTTCAGTCAATCTGCCTGTCCTGTTCCCTACTGAATCCTCTTACACCCCGCCCCACCCCCATCTCTGGCCTGTATTCTTGTATGCATAAATAAATCTTTAAAAAAAAAATCCCTTTTAAAGCTTTGAATATATTTACTTCTTTTTAAGCACTAGAATCAATAAGAAATCCTGACTTTGGGGGAGACATTTGAGGTTCAGTATATGTTCATTTTCATGCTTTTCTTCTTTTTAAATTCTATCAGAACAAAATTAAATGATTTCTTATGTGGACAGTTCAGCTAATAGGTAACCATAATTCTGGTTCTTGTATAAATTGGTGCCAATTTTCTAGAGAATTGTTTGACAATTACATTTCTGCTAAGTTTTTTAGAAAGAATTTTGTAAGAAAATCAGAAATGTGAAAAATATATTAAGTATTTTAGGTTATAATGAAAAACTGAAGCAATCTAAATGCCCAATACCAGGACAGGGGGTAATAAGTTTGGTTAATTCATATAATGCACCATTTTAGTTATTTAAAAAAGAAAATCAGGATTTATGGCATGTTGGTGACATAATAGGGAAAAACATTACACAAAACTGTAAAAACATGGCACCTATCATAAAATACACATATACACTTGTTTATAGAAAAGACTATAAAGTGAGTTTTAAATGACCATGTGGTAACATCAGTCTCTTTTACTTACCTTTCAAAATTGAAATTGGCAGGAATTCCTTTCCTTTTCATTGATTCAACAGATTAGTTTTGTTGAGCAAGTTACTGAACTAGCTACTTGTATTACATTCTTCTATTTTCAGTGGAAATTTCAGTGTTACCTGACTTTCACACACACATTCTAACTTTTTAACAGAAGACTGTGAGGACAAAGATATTAATTCCAAATTCCAAAGGAGAAACTGAAGTTTTCAGCAAAACCAGGTGTCTGGTCATGGTGACCTGCCTACTAAGTAGAGAGTGAGAATCAGAATCTTAGCCCACGGGTATTTTCCCTATACTTTAAACTTTTCCTGTTTGATAGGTGAGTTACCATATAGAAAAACTCAGTGGGATGCCATTTTTTAAAAAAAATATTTATTTATTTATGCTTACAGAACTAGGATACAGGCCAGAGGTGTGGTAGTGAGAGGCTTCACCAGAGCCAGAGTGGGGAACAGAACAGGCAGATCTATGGAATACATTGCTGAGAGGAAAGGTGGGTGGGTCAGAAGAGGTCTGTCACACCTTGTGGGTCACCTTCCTGGCCAGGGATGGAACTCTTGATGCAGTGGCTTTGGAGAGCTTCATAATACAGTGCTTTAACCCGTGGCGCCACCAGAGAGAGCCTGGGATGCCATTTGTACAGAATGCTAAGGGACTTGACTCAAGTTAAAATGTAGTGGACACTGTATGTGGCTTGCCCATGACCTACGTATGCCTACCCACTTCTAACTACCAGTGTGCCGTTATCTCTCTGGGATTGCTCAGAAGCCAGGAAGAGTTTCTCTGTCTAATGGAAATGCTATGGAATTGCTGCCATCTTCCCAATCAGTTTCATTATGGGGATTAACTTTGACATTCTCCACTGTTAGCAGACCTGATGATATATCCTTTATTAACTGTCTCCCCTTCCAAAATTCCTCATTCCATTATCCATGTTGTCAATGCTGCCCAAGTAAAGTACCTGCCAGTAAGTCCTTGTTTCAGGATCTATTTCTGAAAGTAATGAAGCCATCTTGCGTGATAGCTCTGTGTTTAAAGGTTAATTAGTAACTTGGAATGCATATGTCATTAGTAAACACAGAAGAAGAACATGTCAGTTATGATGCTCTCGGATATATAAAAAGTAGATGACGTGTTGCAAACCCACCAAGGGGTGCCCTGACCGCTATGTTCGTCGTAGCTGGAACATAGGAGACTCAGAGACTGGAGAAAACAAAGCAGGAGCCTGGGGTCTGAAGTCCGAGGGTATATAAAGGGTCTGTACAAGGGTCTGTATATGCAGGGAAAAACAGGAAATGTACCCAAGAGATGTGTCTTACGCAGAGGGTGTGGTGCATGTTTGTATGGGGCCTGGGGCTTCTTGTACTTCTACTTGAAACAAAGTAGTGGGCTGCAGCTGTTTGCAGGACAGAGTGCACTGTGCTCTGCTGACTTGTTTGTTGGCCTGACTGGGGAGGGAGTGTGCTCACCCATGCACAGCAATCAGCCAGGGCGGACAGGTGCACTTGAGGTCCTGCAGAGTTAGCCACAATGACTTTTCCAAAGTCTAAGGTTTCACTATTAGTTTCATAAAACTAGGCAAATAATCCAACTGCTTCTCTTTAGACAACACTTAAGAGAACAAATAATTCTTACATGTTTTTTGATATCAAGTCTTTATTAATAAGTAAAGTGCTCAATATTACATATTAATGAATTCTCAATTGTTGAGAAATATTGCATATGTAACATTTTTTAATAATAATCATTATAGAGGGGGAGATGAAAGGGAAGGGATGAGTAGGGAATTCTATATGACTACAAAGGAAAGAAATACGTAATTTCTAAGTAAAAAGAATTTAGCAAAACATTACAGGTGACATGAAAAAAAAAGTATAAGTATTAAAAAAGACTTTATAGTGGCCAACATTATACATGGCACACAGTCAATATACATGGATACCACATAATGGCTGCTCTTCAAATTGAAGTTTGTTTACATGTAACAAAATGGTACACATACATAAATACATACACTCAATATCCCTGGAATGCAAACCTTAGTACCTAGTAATAAAGAATTTTGTATAGCATGTTCAAAAAAAAAGTAAAAATGGAGATGAAGCTGTGGGAAATATTAAAGAGATTCAATGTATAGCACTTGTATAGAAGGGGTTTGTCTCTGCTCATGTTTCCATTGAAGATTTGACTGACATACTTTGCCAACTGAATGAGTACTATGTGAATATAAAACATAACATTTAAACAGGCCTCATTTGTAGCTTCTCCAAGTGTCATCCACCAACATCTATCTGGGTTATCCCATTAATTCTCAGAAGGTCACCTTACTCAACACTTCCTGAATTGAAAAATTAATTTTTACTTTTTATTAAAAAATAGATTTCTTCCCCATAAACTTTTAAAGACCCACTGTAATAGGGTCTTTAATGTTGCAAATTCAAACAGATACCTTTAAAAAAGGGATGAATTTTCAATATCAAAACCTCCTTTTCATGAAATTGAGCTCCACAGAAATTAAAAATTCTAGTTTTGAAATACAGGTCAAGAGTTTTTGAGTTCTATTGTTTCTTTAAAAAAAAAAAAAGCATGAGATTCAAACTTTAGTTTTACATATTTTCATATGAGTTTCAACACTGAAAGTTTGTTGAAAATGAGCATATTCACTAATTTAAATTTTCTGTATATACTAAAAAAATTTGAGTAAATCGGTCCTTCTTAGATTGATTACAAATAAATTAAAACACATGGGAAAATATCAAATGGATGCATTTTCATACTAAACTTACTACTAGAGAAAATTAAACTTGGTGATTGAACTTCTTTTAATTTTCATATGATATTGTTAGAAATGACACTTTGGCCCATAATGGACCTTCGGTGCTTTCATGTGGCAGATAAGAGTCAAAATAGAGTAAGAATTATGGTCAGTCCCAAAGACACTAGCTATGATAAAATAACAAAAAGAATACTATTCAACATTAATCTTAACCAGCCATACAAATTCTAGCATAATGACTACATACACATTCTACGATTGGAGTACTTTTCCAGCTCACTTTTTAGAAAAGTTTACCCCAGGAAGGTAGTTGAAATGTCTCCTTTCTTAAAAGAAAGTGATGTATTACTCCCATGAGTTAAGCCTGAGTGGAATAGAAGGCCCCTACTTTCTCTTCACACGGTGAGCAAAAAATGACAATACTGATTTAGGTAATTGGAAATCAAACTCAGAAGCCTTTTTATAGTTCTCTTCTAGCTTAAAAGGCCACTTCATTGTCAACTGAGAGGGCTCAGGCATGGTAGCGAGTGGGCATACCACTCAATATAATTCTACAATGAAATTGTTCCTCAATATTTACACCACATCTCCTATATGAGAAAAAGAAAAAAAAAAAAACTCCTTTGATTCACGGACAAAATTTACCTAAAATAAATTAAAGTGCACAAGAATTAATAACTGGTCACAAAGACCAGCATCGTATGGTAGTCAGGGCACAAAAAATAGTGTACTAGTATGGCAACTCAAGAGAGCCATCTTCTTGGTCTTAGGAACTCATGTACAAGTACATGTCCTAAACATGGAGATTGGAACTACCATTTCCATTTCCACATTCCATTCCTTCTGTAGATTGGGAGGAAGACGGGCGGGAGCTTCTGGGGCGAGGTTGACCAGTTGGTCCCAATGGTGTGCCTAAACCATGATTCATGTGGGAAGCTGCATCATCAGATTCCCAACGTTCCAACTCTTCCCGCACTAGCCGCTCCATCTGCTCCCTGTGGATTTCACTGTCACGACCTAATCTTTCATCCTAATAAAGAAAAAAGAAACCAGGATGTTGGGGGGCAGGATGATACATACTCTTGCACTTCAAAACTGCCTTAGGAAATTTGGGAACCAAAGAGTCTGCCTGTTATTAGGGAAGGTTGGAGATTTTAAGTATATAATAGCAATTCTCAGAGTCACTGAATAACTTTTTTGCCTAATTGTACAGTGCAATGAAGTTAGAGTCACTGGTGTGTGGAGAACTAAGAAAATTATTGAATCTGTAATAATTTGCAGTTATGGAGAAACAGAAATATCTCTGACTAAGGATTACAAATATGACTCCCCAGTGTTTAGTAGAATCAGAGTATTTTTCTGCCCCACGACCACTTACTTCAGCCACTCCATCCAGCAGCCTTCCCAGCACCTCCCTCCTCTTCAGTTTGGCTCGTTCCATAATTTCCAGCTTCACAATCACCGCATCAATCTTGGACACAATGCTGCCGATAGAGTGCTCCATCCTGTCTACTCTTCTCACCAGACTGTGGAAACCACAATTAAGAGGGTAAAATTATCTTGTGTCCTACTATCTTGTGAAAACAGGACTATGTTATTATTCTTCACCAGTATGACAATCGAACAACAACAAAAACAGTGGTGGTTACCAGAAGGGAAGAGTATGGTGAGTGGGAAAGGGAGGATGGGGAGATAAATAGGTCGAAGGGATGGATCAGTTGTCGGATAGTGATGAAAGGTATCAGAACTTTGGTGGTGGTGCATGCATTTATGGAGGTGTGTAGCTGTTCTCCTGAGATTTATGTTGTATTACAAATCAATGGTACATAAAAAAAGTCTCAATATTATATGAAATTGACTTTCAGCACAAGGTTCCTTCAGTAGATGGAACATGGAAGGTGGCGGGGAGAAAAGTAAACACTAAATAGTCTCCAACTTTAGAGGTAAACTTTCATACATTGCTGGCGGGAGTGTTCACTGCTATAATTTTTTTGGCATCATATCAGAAGTCTTAAAAACATATGCCTTTCCTTTTATTCAAATATTTCCATTTTTCATGGAAAATTTTCTAAAGGAAATAAGTACATCTGTAATTTCTGGCTACAAAGATATTAATTAGAGCGGCGCTTAATATAGGGGGTCACTGAAAATGGTTTCAATAAAACTAGTGATTAAACTACTTTTATTTATTTATACTATGGAATTCTAAGGAGATATCAAAATTATACTGCAAGAGAATAGTGAAATAAAATGATGTTCAAAATATATTGATAAAGCAATCAGATAATAGTATACTAATAGTTATACATTTTTATTTTGAATAAACAAACTGCTATGCAAACATTTAAAAAACGATAAAACTTTAGAATGGTGGCACAAGGTCGCTATAGGTACTTTTCCAGTGAAACAACTGTAACAATTGAAAATTATTTAACAAAAATTATTTTTAAAAGTATTCTTAAGGACATACAGTCAAAAATTAATAACTTATTTAGGGTCCTCCCTGATGACTGTTCAATGGGTTAAAGCCCAGCACTATGAAGCTATCAACAGCCAACTGCAGCACGAGTTTTATCTCCAGCCAGGAAGTTGACCCAGATGGCGCAGTAGACCTCTCCTGACCTGCCCGCTGCTCCCCTCAGCAGTGTGTTTCAGTAGATCTACCTGCTCAGCTCTCCACTCTGTCTCTGGTGAGTCCTCTCAACCCTGCACCTCTGGCCTATATCTCTGTTCTTGTGTGCATAAATAACTAAATCCTAAAAGAAAAAAAAAAGTACTTATTTAAAAGAAGTGACTGAATTTCAGTCAGAGGAGTAAGAATCTGTGACATATGAGCCATAATTGGTTCCCTCTCTCCTGTATTCCAGCTTGATGTGATGTAAACGACACTGTGGAATGTGCGTGAATGTGTATATGTGTCTGTGTGGCACAAAGAACACAGAGCTTCCTCTTCCCTCAGTTCCTTATCCAGAGCTATGTCAAGGAAGGGCAGAGTGCCAGCATTTCTATTTCCTATGCCTCCACTCCCAACACCACATTGAAGAGGTTCAAATTTAGGCAACAGTGGCTGACAGGTACAAGGCCCTCCTTCTCTACTCAAATTGAAGGGTGGCGATTCCATGGCAGCAGAGTCAAGCTGAGGAGGACAGGTTGCCAACCCTGGCTTTCTCAAGCGTCAGGGGTGTGTCACTCTGAGAGACCAGGGCCACTGTCCTTGCCCCTAGCTCTAGAGCAGTGGAATAGAGACTTTGCCTCAGGGGAGGCTTTATTTGGAACAAGGTTTGGGGAAATGTAAACACAAGAGTGCTCTTGAATACAATGGAGATTGTGATTTTGTGGTGACACGCACTTAAAAGTAAGCTGGTTGTTACAGAAGATCCACTAATTAAATTGTTTACTAGCTGGTTTACTAGAAAGAACTAGGGAAACAGACAGCTAAAGATTAGCCTCAAAAACAAATGCAAAGAGACCAAGTTTAACTGGATCAAAGCTGTTTATGGAGTTTATATCCTGAGGTATTATCATAAACAGTAGATGAACCAGTGAGCAATTAGTGGAACCCTAAGAGGTGGAAGTAATATGAAAACCACTGTTTACCCAGATGTAATGTGGCCAGAGGTGTGCCCTTTGAGAAACAACACCAGAGGTTTCACCTTGTGGGGGAAGCAAACAAATATGCAAATATGCAAACAGCAGCAAAAATAAGACCTGAAGGGGAGGGACTCAGAACTGCAACAATAAATTAGTTAAATCTCTTGTTTTCATCAAAAAATTCTGAGACAAGGAAAAAAAAAACAAACCACACAGCAGGAAAATGTGATCCAGTCACAATAATAAAAAAAATCAACCAATAGAATCTGTCTTTGGAGATCCCAGGTAGACTTAGTAGACAAAAATTTCAAAGTACTCATTATAATTATATTTAAAAAATTAAGAACTTGTGCTTCAAAAATAATGGTATGATTGTCCCAGACTGCAGGGCAACAGGAGGCGATATAATGACAGGAGACAAGAAAGAAGGCTAGTGGCACCTCAAAATAGTGCTTCACATAGGAGTTACAGGAGGGAATATAGAAGGAGCACAAGGGATCCAGAACGGAGGCCAGATGGAGAAAAAGACGGAGACCTGAGGAAGCCACATGGAGCAGCAAGCATATGATGAAGAAACCAGGCTTGTTTCCTGGAGTGGTTAAGGCAGATGTGGGTGAGAGACCTGTAGGGAGGTGACTATGACAGTGTTTATATTGATTTTGATTTTGCTCTTTTCCTCCCAGATTTGTCTGGCCATTTCTGACCCTTTTCCATGGGTCCTGGCCAGAAGGTGCTTTAGTCTTGTGGCAGGCTTTCAGGCCTTGCTTTGGGCCAATCCCTTTTGGGTTGACTTTTGCCCAGGAGGGGATGGGTAACTTCAGGTGTTTTAGAAGTTATATTCTTTGTGTTCCATATTGTATATTCACTGTATTAAAGTCACTTTTCATTAAAGCTTTATATGTTTTGTCTTGTTGCGGCGGATGGCAGAACCCACTTAGAACAGGCAGGTTTTGGGGCTTCAGGGGTGTCCCTCTCTCCCTGTCCTCTAACAGAATTGAGCTGCCCTATAACATGATGACATTTATCAAATAGAGAATATCTACTAGGAAAGTGAGATTGCTAAAAGAAGCAAAGAGAAATTTGGAGTTCAAAAGTACAAAAATGAAATGAAAAGTCATTAGAGAATTTAAATAGTACAATTGAACTTGCACAACAAAAGCATACTGGAGATAAAAAAGAAATAAAGAAAAATGAACAGAACATTGGAGTATGTTGGATATTATTATAGTAAGCATCCCAACATATGCATGATGGGAGTCCCAGGAGAGAAGAGAGAAAACAGTCTTTTAATAAAAATAATGGTGGAAAACTTCCCAAACTTGATGAAAACATTATGCAATCAAGATGCTTAATGAAACCAGGTAGGAAAAATGCTAAGAGATTAGACACACTGGAGTAAAAATATTGAAAGATGATGAAAAAGATAAAATCTTGGAAGTAGCAAGGGAAAAATAAAAACCTCAGAAAAATAAAAACATGAAAACCTCAGATTAACAGCTGTCTTCATGAAGAAATAAAGGTGATATAAAAAGAATCCCAGAAACTGAGAAAAATCATTGCTAACAAGAGAAACAGGGAAAACAAGAGTTCGCAAACAGAAATGAATACATTGATAATATAATAAAAATAGTGAGACACTTGAATATCCCACTGTGTCAATTAACATTTAAACAGTAGATAGAACTGGCAGAAAAATAAACAGGAGAAATGAGTAGCACTATAACCAACCAGGTATAATAAACTGCTACAGACCACTCAACAACAGCAAAACATAGTTTCTTTCCAAATGCATGTAGAATATTCTTCAGGACATACCATGAATGTGCCAGACCACAAAAACACGTTAAAAAAAAAACAAAAAACATACAAATGGAGAGAGAAACACCAAAATGTAAATTGACATTTTTGGTTGGTGTGAATATGAGATTTTAGTGTTACCTTTTACTTTTCTTTCTTTGTCATTTTTTACATAATGAATATATTATTTCATAAAGAGAAATAAGCAATAAATTATAAAAAAAAGAACTAATGATTTTTTGCCACTAGTGGACAGAAAGGATTGAATTGAGACAGGTGGGGGAAATTGCTTGGCCTCTTAAGGACTCTTATCAGCCCAGATTCTGCCAGCTCATTTACACTTACACTTGAAACTCTTCGTAAGAAACCCCACTGGAGATGCTGCCTCTTCTTCTGGAGCTATGCCCACTGTCTTCATCGTCATCCTCCTCAGAGTCATCCAGACTTCTGGGGAAGCTTCGGCTGCTCATGGGACGTGGTAATGAGCTGTGATCGAAGTCCAGGTCCTCCTGAAGAACATGAGGTCAGTAAGTGGGGGACAGGAACACCCAGATCCCACAGGCTTGAGCAAAAAGGAAAAAGATGTGTGCTATTAGTAGGACATTTTTGTGGTTAATACCAAACTGTGATTCCCACACTTTTCCATATCACAGCTTGGCAAATTTTCAAAACAGATTTTAATGAGTTGTGAACATTTTGTTTGCATGTGAAAGAATATTAAAAACACCACAAAGCAAAAAAAAAAGTAAACAAAGAAATATTATATTTTCATAGAATCACACATTTAATAGTTTCAAAGTAGGAAGGATTTAACAGTAAAGAATTTTGACTAAAATAATCTGGTGAAAATTTTACTGGTTATCTTCTTGTTTGCATTTCACTTTCACCAGTAATGTTTCTCATCTACCGCTGTTTTCTGTGGGGAGAGCTTAGGAGTAACTGAGGTTTGTCAATTTTCCTTCTCTATCCCAATGATTATGAATGTTTAATCATTTATATTTTAAGTTTATATTAAAGCTTTTAGTTATTTCTGATGATAAAAACTCATGAAAGTTGACTCTTAATTGTTTCATAAGTTTTCAAATAGAAGGCAACTCTTAGCTTTATTTCATAATAATTGTTGAAGAGCAACTTTTCTGAGAAATTTCTTCCCATTCTTATGGACATTGTGTATTGCATAACTACTCAGACTTCTCTGATGTTGATTACCAGCTTACAACCAAATCTGTGTAGCTCAATCTTAATGAGCATATGTAGGTTTATGGTATGCATTTTTTAGCTTCATTCAAAGTTTAGGTTTTGTTTCACTTTGATTTTTCTTACATTTAAGCTAAACTAAATTACATCATTGTGTTATGTATATCCTTTCCAGAATAAGCAGGGTACTAATAAACAAATAGATACATACACGCGCACACACACACACATACAGAGAAGGAGTTAGTGCAAACACTGATAACCCACTGGTAAGTACAGTGTTTGAAACACTGAAGGCGCCGAATCAATTTAAACATGTTCTTCAAAACTACACCCACCCTCTCTTTTTCCAAGTCGTCTCTCATCTGCTGATGTTCATGTTCAGTTAGTTCTTGGTCTCCATCCTGGTCATACTTTGTGAATATCGCCTCAATCTCTGCATCAGTGTGGCCCTTCCTGAAATTATTGAGAGGTTACGGATTAACTCATTCATGCCTCTGGTCCCACCAGAACACAAAGTCATCGCTATGCGGAGGAGAGGAGAAAGGCAGCCTGGAACCAGGGCTCTGACTGCAATATTGTCCCCAGGATTCCTCTTCTGGAAAAAATGTGTTCCGGGGCCCTCCCTGGTGGCGCAGCGGGTTAAAGCGCAGCACTGAGAATCTGAAGCCACTTCCGCATGAGTTCGATTCCCGCCTGCCGCCTGCCCCGGAGGAGACCACATGGCGAGCCAGACCTCTCCTGGCCCGCCCGCTGCTCCCCTCAGCAGTGTACTTCGTCCATCTGCCTGTTCTGTTCCCCACTCTGTCTCTGGTGAAGCCTCTCACCGCCCCTGAGCCTCTGGCCTGTACCCCAGTTCTGTATGAATAAATAAATAAATCTTTAAAAAAAAAAAAAAAAAAAATGTGTTCCGGGGTGGTTATGGTGCAAGGCATGGGCGAACTGGTGGTGGGAATTCTAAGGGAACTAGACCTGAGGGGAGAAAGCCAGTGCTGTACAAGAATGAGCGATGATGTTAAATATACACAGTTAAATAAATAATGTCGTGAAAAAAAATAAAAATCTGGGTTTTTCTTTACAAAAAAAAAAAAAAAGTGTCCCTGAGTACTTGGACCAGAAACCCCCTATCACCGAGAATTTATCTTTACATGAGGACATTCCCATGGCTCAGGAAATGCAATTCTTACCCTTTGAGATCTTGTCGAAGTTCGTCAAAATTTAACTTGCCTTCCCCTTGCCGCAGACTCTCGGAAATATCATCCACAGTATTTTTTTTCAGTTTTAGTTTGACCAAGGCTTTATGGTAGCCCTGTCAAAAGAAAAGACTGGGTTTAATGAATTCTCTTCTCACATCTGCTTTATGTTTCATTTATCAAAGTAGCTAATGTAAAACCCTGCTCTGTAATGTGACCAGAACAGTGTCTGACATAAATTGATCACTCGAGTATGATTCAAGTGGATGAATAATATATCCTCTTGGAAGAGATCTATAGAAAGTGTCAGCCCTTCAAGGACTCAGGACCTTTTGCTCATATGTATGTTCAAGTTCAGGTTATAAAAATGATTATTATTATTAGGTTCCATAGCTCTCTGCCTCTTCAATGTGGAACAGTTTTTCTGAATAGAGAAACTTACATTATGGATTATTTGCTATTAGTATTATAATTTTATTAATGTTTATTTTACTGAGCTCATGCTCAGTCATTTCCTTACACATGCCAAGTATGTTAAAAAAATTCCAATGAAATGTGGATGAAAATGTTTTACCAATAAACTACAGGCAGTTGCTTTACATGGGCTGTAAATATGGTTACACAAATTCAAACTGTACAAAGTGATGCTAATAATCAGTGGGGAAAAATTATGATTGTGAACTGTGAAATTTTCAATTCACTGAAAGCTTTCTTAATATTCACTACAACTATACAGAGGAATATAAAAAATATTCAAATAAATATTTAGTACACTGATATTTAACACATTAGAAACATTGCAAATTAAGGTGGTTTTTTTTTTTTATAAAACCTTTATCCAGAGAAGCTTGATGCCTTACTTGTTGAGTAAGTAATCACATGCAACGAGTAATTTTTCTATCTTTTGGTGAGTTGTCATAGTTCTTTCTTAATATGGATTAATTTTCAGTATTTTACATTCAATGTTATGAAATAGCTGTAAGATTTCCTTTAGTGGGAAGTTATTCATTTGCATTGTTTCACTGAGATTGTCATTCTTTTCATCATAATCACTTCCTCGTTTATGTTGATACACTTGCCTTCACTAGGCTCTAAAACCTGCATCTCCACCAAAATAATGGCTAATGGCAGAAATATCAACAGTCTTGAGCCTGCTATTTCTCCTATAACGCCATTCAACACTTTTTTTTTTTTTTCAAGTTCATTTCCAGCATGACCATTCTTTATTTCTTTGGACTAATCGTTTCTTTCAATTATACATTTTTGTAAACTGTTATATCGGTTTATCGCTCAGAAACAAGAAGACTAAAGTTTTGTGCATGAACTGAATAGAAGATGCTCAGTAACCAAATACATTAGAATTTGACCTTAAGCACTGGTTATAATGCACATCTACTATTATATAATTATTTCTAAATTTAGGCCAGTAGTTAAGTTTTCCCTTTATGCTCACAATTAATACTCAGTTTAACATACATGTGATAACAGAAATTTGAACAGTATTGAGAACCAGATGTTAACTCAAATTTGTGGAGGAGTACTTGTATAGCCACTAAAGATTTCCTAATATGTAACCCAACTGTACAAAACCCAGGATAACAAAAATCTTAGGTCTTCTTCCAAGAGACTTTGTTCTTTATTACAATGTGATTCACAGACAACATTGTACAGACAAGGAGTCACTGATGCTTAGTAAAATGATGTTAGGGAACAAACTGTGCACTTTAGATTTTAGTATTTGTTGCTTCAAACCAAATAAAGAAGTCATATTGAGAACAAAGCTGCCCAACTTTCCTGTCCTGCCCTTCAAGTGAACAATGAAACATTTCCTGAGAAGGTACAAAGTGAAAGTTCTCAGGATTTAGGACTGGTCTTAATCCAGATACCTTTTCCTCTGGCTATTTTAAAACTTCCATGGAAGTTCAAGGGCCAGTAAAATATGAACTAGAAAATATTTGCCTCTATAGCTTCTTCTCTCTTTTACAATTATTATTGTTTAATTGGAATAATATGTACATGGTTTATAGTATAGTCTTTTCTTTTTCAAAATAGCAATTCAAATAGAAGTAAAAATGAACTCATACTATTTCCTTCTAGTTTATTCTGAAGTCTGGATTAGGAAATGTGAGCCAATTAGAGGAACCATCAGAATGAAAAAAGGGGGGGGGGGAGAGGGAAGCAACTCAGGTCTTTAGAGTTGAGAGATAATTAAGAATTATAGGATATTGGGTCCTGCCTGGTGGCATAATGGGTTAAGCGCAGCACTATGAAGTTAGCCATAGTCACTTTAGCATGAGTTAGATCCCTGCCCAGGAGGTGACCCACATAGCATGGAGGACCTCTCCTGACCTGCCCGCTGCTCCCCTCAGCAATGCACTTCATTGATCTGCCTGTTCTGCTCCCCACTCTGTCTCTGGTGAATCTTCTCACCCCTCCTGCACCTTTGGCCTATACCCCAGTTCTGTATGCATAAATAAATAAGTCTTTCAAAAAAAGAATTCTAGGGTATTAAAGTACTCCCATTATTTCAATTCAAGCTAGCAGTATATTTATCTTTAATTCTAAAAGAACATTCAAATTATTTCTGAAATATAGTATCTTGCTCTTTATTTTAATGATCAATGTTGATTTGGGAATCTGGCTAAAATATGGTTCAGTTTATGTAGCAAATGAAACAAGTCTGAGAATTAGAACTTATCATACCTTTCTGATAAGATCTGAGAGTTCCATTTCAGCTTTCTGTTGGGCCAGATCAGATTTAACTTCAGAGTAAGTGTCATTGATGATGGCCAAAAACATATTCTGTTATAAATCAAACACAGAGGTTAAGGAAAAAATCTAAATATATTTTATAAACATCAATCAATTACACTATACATGCCTTTTAGCTCATCTTTTTTTTTTTTTTTTTTTTTTGTTAAATAACCCAAGGGTTTGAGAAGTCATAAATTAATAGTTTTGCTAGCATATTCTTTGGAAAAATTGTTTTTTCCATTAAATTATGCAAAGGAAAATGCAGGACATAGATTTGCTTATAAAACCATATGTTGTCATAACTTTGCAAAAAGAGACACAAATGAAATACAACCAATTTGTGAATAGTGGGATTATTTTTACTTCCCTTTATTTTTTTCATTTGACATAAATCACTTAAGGGTATGGAACTCTATAAGCAGCTCTTCAAATTTCAATACTCCATTAGTCAAATTTCATATTTTTATTAAATTTATTCCTAGAGCCAACACCCGGCAGTCACCTTAGCCAGGGCGGCCACCCCTGAGTCTGGCTTGTCTTTTTCTACAAAGGAAGTTGGTATGCCAGTAGCCGCCCCTTTTTTTGTGAGGGTTGTGGAGAGAACAATTCATTTTTTTATAGTTCAAAAAAGATTTAATTGTAAAGATAAAAACGAAGATCTCACTATGTTCTACTGAGTGATTCGCTAAGATGACTGAATAGTTTAGTAGGTGCCACCAGCTACCAAACAACGGGCAAGGCCAGGGCAGAGCATTTCAAACCGAGACCATTGTACCCTTATTTAACAGACTGACATGCGAAGAAAACTGAGGTGGCCCGGCAGACCTCTCCTGTACCCCCCTCTACTCCCCTCAGCAGTGTATTTCGTCAATCTGCCTGCTCTGCTCCCCACTCTGTCTCTGGTGAAGCCTCTCACCCCCCTGCACCTCTGGACTGCGCCCCAGTTCTGTATGCATAAATAAATAAATCGTAAAAAAATAAAGTGAGAGGAAATAAGAGTTGAATACTGTTTAAATGGCAATAGAACTTGCCTTCATCGAATGTTGCCTCAATAAAAAATACAATTAAAAAAAAGAAAAGAAAATTGAGGTGGCCCAGAGTCCAGGGGGGCCTGTTACAGAACTCTCAAGTCCTGGTTGTTTGGTTTTTGAATAGAGATGCAGCTGCTACAGGATCCAAGGTACTGTTAGTGTCTGAGAGGAACAAGGCTTACTCTTCCCTTTGTTATTTTATTTTTTTCTCCTTTAACTTATGATAGGATGAAGAAATTCCAGAAATTGAAGGTTAAAATTAATCATAACAGTTTTGTTGAGCAAGACAAACACAAACTTCTTGGTACTCCTGACTCTTTCAACGCTACTAAAAATACATCTGGTATTGGGTTCTCCTTGATGGTGCAATGGGTTAAAAGGCAGCAGTCATTGCAGCAGGAGTTCAATTCTCAGCCTGGGAGCTGACCCACATGGCATGGCAGACCTCTCCTGAGCTGCCAACTGCTCCTCTCAGCAGTGTAGTTCAGTACATCTGCCTGTTCTGATCCTCAGACAGAACAGTAGATCTGTCCGTTCTGTTTCCCACTCTGTCTCTGGTGAATCCTCTCACCACCCACACCTCTGGCCTGTACTTCAGTTCTTGTATGCATAAATAAATAAATCTTTAAAGAAGAAACAAAAGTACATCTGGTATCAGTGCCATAGACTTAACTACCACATACCTGGACCAACTTGGGAGATAATTACAATGATTTATTTAACCTTAGCAAAGGATCTTTATTAAACTTACTGAAAATGAAAACCATTTTGTTGTTTTCTTAAGATGATAGCTGATATAAAGGATGTCTTTAATGCTAGGCAAAGGGGTGTTTAAAGTTTAGACCTTAAGTATAGATGAAAAATACCAACTGCCTAGCTGAAACTAAATGTACTGATGTTAAGGTAAAAACAAAATACCTTAAAAGAATCTTAATATTGAGTTCCAAATGTTAAAAATGGTAATTTGTACCCAATCAAGGGAATCAAAAAAATTATTTTTGAAAATAATTTCCAAAGTAATTTTGATTCATTGTTAGATTTAATTTTATGTTAAAATATTAAAGTTAGGTAGTTTCTATGTTAAATATGAATAAGTTAAACTATCATATCTTAATTCTAATAAGCAATAAATCACTCAAGTATTATTCTTGACATCTTGGACCTAATTTGTTTTGTCACTTCCTATATTTTAAAGAGAAGAGAGAAATGTTAAGTCCTGCTAGCAAGTGATCACGAAAGTGCTGACATTTGTGTTAAAAAAATGTATGAGTATTTTATTTTTTAGGCAGAGTACTCTTTTAGTTGACTTCATAATCTTACATTTGATGTGTTTTATATTAAACAGACACATAAATATGGATAAATGGTACATTTATGATAAAAGCTTAATACTGTGAATCAATGAGAAGAAAGAAAATGTGTTTCCTAATATCGACATTTTCCCTATTTCCATGATCATTAAAAAAATGATAGAGAATAGAGTGGGAGAGAAAAGGGCAGAAGGTGACCCCTGAAGTTCAAATCACCTTCCTGCTAAATAAAAGTGTACATACCAAAAGGATGAAGAACATAAAGAACACAAATGTAGTAAAATAAATTGGTCCCAAAACTCGATTAGCTTCCTCAATCTCTGCGAAGTTGATATCACCCAAAATGATACGGAATTGAGTGAAGCTATAAAAACAAAACACAACACAACACCACAATACAAAACCAAAAAATGTCTGTCATTGATAAAACATTTCCTAAGTAAGGTTTCATTCACATTGTCCAACCTTTTTATCAGTGTTAAGAGGTGCCAAATAATTAGAAATTGTCAGTCCCTGTGGAAAACTCTCATTATTTCTATAAGTGAGAAGTATAAACTCTCTGAGTAAAATATGCATTCATGCTAAATGCTATTTCCATTTTATTAAAATATAAAATTTGATTTATATTATATAAAAATATAATAACTATTATTAGATGACACAATGCTATCAGCTGTAAGAATGTAATAGATAATCTGATTTAAAGATGCTAAATGTAAACCTTCACAACTATCACCCTGGATGTGAATTTAAAAATCTGGTAAAAGTAATTTCTTTTGAAAAACCAATGTCGATGGCCAAAGATCCAGTATACTCAAAGTGGTGCATATGTGCTGTCAGTGGTGAACCTTGACCAGAAAAATCATTTTCCTCCCTGACTTTTATCAAACAGCAACATTAATTAGGATCACCATTCTATTGACCTTTTTTTCCTAACAAACTACTCTTTAAATGGCTTGGAAATCTAACACTGGTTACTGCTTGTTTTTAATAATCTTTGAGAACTGAAAATTTCTATACTGGTTAAGTTTTCCCCGATATTTTAGAAATGGTTTTTATCTCTTAGAAGACAACTTTAAGTTTATAATATATGGCAATGATATTTAATCAGAATAAAAATATAGTCCAACTGTCATTTAAAATCTACCATCTACATTTGGAGCCAAGAAGGTTTTGAAACAGTGTTGATTAACAGTTCTCCTACTTTAGAACTGGCTTACGCATCAGCATTTCAGGCATATTTCCATCTTTGCACAAGTGGATCAATGTTATTGGGAAAGTGAATGAATTTTCACTTTTTTAAACACTTGGTTGTTAAAAATAAACCATTTCTCTATTTTTGAGAAGGCAGTAACCTCCCTGATGAAATTTTCCTTTTGAATTTCATCAATACTTACATACACTCTTGGAAGGTACTGAAGTCATCAATCTGAGTTCCAAAGACAAGGTATGCCAGCTGAGCATATGCTAAGAAAATAATGAAGAACATAATAGCAAAGCCAAAGAGGTCTTTGGCACACCGAGACATGGTTGTAGAGAGCTGACTCATGGTCCTGTTAAAGCTGATGAACTTGAAAAGCTAAGGAGAGAGGGAAGAAATCAACAGGTAAACGAGTAAACAAAATATGGTTTAGACAACCTGTGAAATATGGGATATAATTCAACCTTGGAAAGAATGATTATTTTGATCCATTCTACTATACAGAAGAACCTTGAAAACATTATGCTAAGAAAAAAGTCAACTATTGTGTGATTCTACTTCTTGAGACTCCTAGAATAGGGAAATTCATAGACGAATTTCCTTCAAGGACGAGGGTGACAAATTGGGAGTTAGTGTTTCCTGGATACAGTTTCAGTTGGGATGATGGAAAAGTTCTGGAAATGCATAATAGTGATGATTGTACAACCTGCGAATGTACGTAGTGTCATTAAATTGTATACAGGATAATGCTAAGTGAAACAAGTCAGAAGGAGAAAGATGAATACTGGTATCACTATTATGTGGGATAGAAAGCAACTAAACAAAGAGCCAGATAAAAACAAGCTTAGAATTGGAGCGCCAAAGGGGGTGCGGGAGGGGGGTTGGCGGAGGGGTAAGAACAAAGAGGGCAGGAAACAAAGCAGACTATGTTGGTGGAATAGGGGTGATTTGGTGGTTGGGGCACTGAAGTAGTAATAACCTGATAGGGGTATCCAAATATTGACTCTATTAAAAATAAAAACTTAATTTAAAATAAAGGAAAATATTTTTTAAAGGTTGAGTGGTAAGTTTTAGGTTATATATATTTTATTCAAGATTTTTCCAAACCCAGCACCTTCTACTTCTTCATACAAAAAGTACTTGCTGAGTGCCTAGCCTTTGCCAATTCCTGAGCCTATCTTGTGCTAATGCTAGTGTTCACCATTATACTTACACAAAAGTGTTCAGGAAAGTCTTTGTCTGACTCACACAAGGGGCAAGTGTTGAGCACAGTCATAAAACAGGTAAAACAATATATTGCTTACACTTCCTTAGGAACGGAACTCCAACAAGCGCCTACGTGCACGCACACATACAAATAACAGAGTGTTAAGGGGAGAAGTCAAGGAGCTGTTGTAACCCAGAGCTGGAGCCAAAGGCTGTTACAGGTGGCGCCCTGGAGGGGTGCAGGTAAGGATGGATAGCCCAAGTGAAATACTGACAAAGAATCAGTGGCGTGGAGGCTCTCATAGGAAATATAAGGGACTGCAGAAGTAGCCCCTAGGATTCAGCATCTTCCAGGATCCAGCAATTGAGGGGTCAACCATTCCTGCCCCTGCCGCACCCAAGTTCCAAAAGGCTATTATGGGCCTCTGAAGGACAGAAGGAGGCTGCCAGCAGTCAACCTCAGAGGAGGAAAGAGAGGCTTTGCAGATAGCCAACTGACTGAAACTGTTCCCAGCTGTTCTGCTTTTACAACCTGAATGGGAAGGTGAAGTTCCAGAACCAGGGGCCTCACTGAGCTGCATGAGTGTGGGCTGTTGTCTGGCTGTGTGCTACTGCGGCTGTGTAGCTGCTGTTTCCAGTGCCATTTGTCTAATATGTGGGATAGAAAGCAACTATACTAAGAGCCAGATAAAAACAAGCTTAGAATTGGAGCGCCAAAGGGGGGAGTCTGCTATGCGGAGGCATCCTGGCAGTTCTGCTGAGGAGCTCCTGTTGCATCTCTTGCTGTCTTCATGTGTTGGATCCCCACCTACTGTCTGGTTGCCGCATATTCCAGTCCCTGAGTGCCAGGAAGATGCCATCTTAGATGCCTTTTGTTTAAGACTTCAAAACCCTGGACACTGCCTTGGGTGAGATAACACGACACTTATGGCCTCGGTGCCTCTTTGTTTTCCCTTGTTTGTTAAATAAATCCTATGTTGTTGTTCTCCGAACCTGAGTTGCCTTGTAATTGTGTGCACAGATGAAGAACTCAGTGACCGGTAAACCATCCAGGCACTGTTCTTGGCCAGTTTCAGTGCCCTTATTTTCCATATCACTGGGATAACAGCATGAATAAAACCAAGCTCCTGCCTTCATACTGCTTCCACTTCACATGATGGTTAAATTACAGTAGAAACAAGTTGAATGATAATTAAACTGACTAGTGGAATAAGAAAAGTTAATGTCAAAACAAAACAACCCAGGAAATCCTTATTGCATGTTAACTGTTACTATCAAGTATGTGAGGAGGGTTCAGTGACATGGTGTTGAAACTTCAAAATGATCCAAATAGTGTGGTTCTATCTCAGGGGTCAGGCAGAGCTTGGAGTGAGCATTTGAACCCAGCTCTGTCTGACTTCAAAGTCATATTGAACATTTTTGTAGGAGAGACACAGAGAACAGCTGCCCTGGTCGTGCAGTTCACAGCTCAGAAGGCATGAAAATTTAGGCAGCTTAACTAGAATCCTTGGTGGGAGAACATTAGGGAGATAAATTAGAAAGAAATTGGGTCTCAATTCCTACTTTGAGGAACTTAGTGGTTCTTAAAGTTTTGGGAGCAAGATGTTTACAAGCAAGGCATTAAATCAAATACCCAGCCTGAGGTATACATGAAAAAGAAATTTCTAGATTTTTACCTAGAGACCTTTTATAATTTGTGTCTGGCCACAACAAAAGTTGGTTTGTTTTTTTTTTTTTTTAGTTTTATAACATTACTTAAAATAATTCTCATTATTCCTATGAGAATTTGATTATAATTAGTTTTATGACAAAGGTTTAGTGTTCAGTGATGGCTTTTTCTAAATAAGCATGTAATTGAAAAAAATAGGATGAGAGAGAGAAAGAGCATAAGCGCTGATAACTTTCAGGCTTTCCACGTGTGAATATGAATCCAGGAAGATAAACAATTATTGGTCTGTACTTTCTAGAACAATGCTGTTTAATAAGTTTCCATGATGATGATTATGTTCTTATTTCCAGTGTCTAGTACAGTAACTGCTATCCATATGCATAGACAATAAGCACTTAAAATGGGCTGGAATGACACAGGAATTGTTAATTACATTTAATTTTAATTAGCTTAAACTTCAATTTCAAGGACACTTAGGGCTGGCTACTGTGTGGGTAGCACAATGGAAGGACCAGAGGTCCTGACAAGTATGCAGCTATTTCACAATGACTGAGGTTTCCTGCTCTCCAGACCTTCAGTTCATTGATTATGAAATGTCCTAATGTTTCAGATGCAGAAATGCATATTATGCCTAGGGAAGAAAAGGCAATGAATGGCTAAGGAAGTATTTGGAAGAGTCATCTGTCCCAAGCCAAATCAGTTCTAGGTAAAACTTCCCCATGATCTCTACCTGGCAAAGAGGAAATCCTTCCAGCGATCATTTTCAAAGCTCCTTACACCCCTCTCCACCCCCCCAAACTTCACACTCTTTCTCATAGCTCCTTTTCCTTCACCAGGTCACTTCATAGCAGCTGAAAATGATGTGTCCTGGTGTCAGAGTAACAGGTCCAGGTTCAGCTAAATATTAAAAAGCCCTCTTACCAGACTTTGAAAATAAAACTTATAGGGGCAGTCCTTTTTTTCTAATTAATTAATTTTTAATTGAGGTAATACTGGGTACCCTCATCAGGTATTGCCATCCACCACCAAACACCAACAGTCCATCACCATAGTCCATTGTGCTTTGTTCTCTTTGTTTTTAGCCCCCCAACCCCGACTTGGTGCTTCAGGAGTCAGTTCTCAAGGGTTAGTTTTTAAATTTCTCTTTGCCTGACTCTTAGTGTAGTTTCTCTGTAGTCCACATATTAGTGACACCACTGGTGTTTCTCTTTCTTATTGTTTCACTCAGCATTATCCCTGCTAGCTGGCAGGATGGTCTTACAGGAGCACAGGTAGCAAGAGAAATAGCACAGCTCTAGGGAGTGATCACAGGGGTCCTGCCACTTTGCTTGACTCGCAAGATGTGCGTAGCTTTGACAGGTTATTTGAATCTGGCTTCAAAAGCAAGTTCCAGTTGTCCTCCACTTTGTGTTTTATGTTAAGAAGAAGAAGAAAACATAGTACTACACATTTAAAATATGAAATTTATAAATTACCTTAATCCAGACAAAAAATACAATGATAGCAGCTATATTGTTGAACTGTATTTGCCAGTATGCCAGATGCTCAAAGTTGGGGAAAGTATTTTGATCTTCCAGAAACTGCTGTAACACCTCCACGTTTGATGTTCTGTATATATTAATTCCTATAGCTATCACTGATAGCTAGAGAACAAAGAATTGAAATATTATTACAGAGGTTTGGCAATGTACAATACCTTAAAATGACTTTTTTTTTTTTACCAGTGTATTAATTTTGGGGGCCACCATTATACTTCCTCAAAGACATTCATAGAAGTTACTCATGTAAATAGTGAGTGTCACAAAGCAGGTAAAGCAATGTATTGCTTGTACTTCCTTAGATGGGAATAGAAATTTAATGAGCTTTGTGTGCAGGCACACACAAACACGAGAGAGATACCACTGTGTAACACAAATACAGCAGGGAAAACTGCTTTATCCTGCCATTCTCATTTAAACTACTATCTACCCTTCTGCTTTCTTAGCCTCATCTTGCGCTCTGATTTTTTTTTTTTTCAATTTCTAGCTATACAACAAATTTCCTCTACCCAACAAATACATAGTGGATGCTTATGTACATAGTGGTATAGCAGACATCAAGAGAAACAAATATAAGTAAAATACATAAACTCAGGCCTCCCTACTGGCGCAATGGGTTAAGCACAGCACTCTGAAGCTATCTGCAAATACTCAACACGAGTTCTATCCCCAGCCAGGGAGGTGACCCACATGGTGCAGCAGACATCTCCTGTCTTGCTCACTGCTCCCCTCAGTGATCTGCCTATTCTGCTCCCCACTCTGGTGAATCTGCTCACCCCGCTACACCTCTGGCCTGTACCCCAGTTCAGTGTAAATAAATTAATCTTCAAAAAAAATCTTTAAAAAAAACAAAAACAAAAAACGAAAACTCTATCCTCAAGAAACTTGTGGCTGGTTCAGACCAGACAAACACACATAAATAAATAAGACAAAGACTACTACATAGTTGGCATCGCAGACCACAAGGGTTGAAAGGTAACTTGAGACACACTAAAAAGGAGAATTGAGGAAAAGACACAATAGTGGGGATGAGGAGGACTGCTGTGAAAAATGTGGCAGATGTTTCCCAGGTGCTTATTTCTGGACCTCAAAGACACACAACTGTCACACCTGCTTTGCTGCTGGCTTATAAAACCAGATGATGGGCATGGAGGCTGCTCATAGACATTACCATGGACTAAGGTATATGTGTAAAAGTGCCAGTGGGTAGCCAAAACCACCTTGCCCTCTCACAGCACCTAAATCCAAGATCACGTGGCAAATGCCATGATCTTGGCTGGCCGGTCATTACGTTATCCTTTCCTGAGATCACCATCCAGATCACGGCCTGAGGAACTTATCACAGTAGACTTGCTGGCTGCCTACTAAAGTGGAAAAAGCAACTTCATTACCTTCCTTCCTTCTCTGAGAAAAATTTCCAGAACTAATCTTACATTTTTGTTCTGGTGGTAGGAATATTTTTCTTTGAGTTCTTTGGGATACACTGAAAATGTTTTCCTACACTTCACTTGAGAGGGAAGGGCTGACTAACCGAATCCAACAATAATGCCTTACCCAACTGTCAGTAGACACAGTCTTTTTTCGTTCTGCCCAGGACAAATATTTATAAAAATACATGGTCTTTATACGGCATTAATATCATATTAATAAGTAAACTTCCTTGAGACTATTAAAAAAAAAAACAAGGAATAAGAAAAAAAATATGAGGAAAGAGAATTTTCTGAAAACCTGGGTGATTATGTCAGTCCTGAGTCTTACAGGATTCTCACTTTTAGCTATGAGAGAACCACCTTCTTAACGTAGGATTCTTTTTAGCAGGGACTCTAGTTTTGTTCATTCCTATAACCCCAAAGCTTCGAGCAGTGCCAGGCACATAGTAAATGCTCAGGAAACATTTATTGAATAAACAAATGAATCATTTATAGCTGTGACTCCTACTAATCAACAACATTTTGCATTTAGAATTCTTCTACGTCTTCTCCTTTCAGTAATTGTTGAGGGTTTTGAAGATTATTGCTTAGGAGAATAGGTGACTGAAGTGAGTCTGTAGGTTTCAGAGTCAATGAGAAAATAATGTCAAAGTTATTCCAAGATACAAACACTGATATTTAGAATATCCTTTCTTTTTTATAAAATTTATTTATTTACACATACAGAACTGGGGTACAGGCCAGAGGTGCAGGGGTAATGAGAAGATTCACCAGAGACAGAGTGGGGAGCAGAACAGGCAGACTGAAGAAGTACACTGCTGATGGGAGCACAGAGCGAGACAGGAGAGGTCTGCTGTGCCATGTGGATCATCTGGGCTGGGGATCGAACTTGCACTTAAGTGGCTGAGGCTAGCTTCCAATGCTGCAGTTTAACCCACTGCGCCACCAGAGAGGGGCAATATTTAGGATATCATTTCTTTTTAAGTTTCAGGTGGACTTCAGCAAATTTGGACTCTTGACTCTTTCATAGGATGGAAGGCATAATGGAGCAGGTCAGAAAAGGTTTCAAAGGAGACTCGTAGCCCTTCCTTGTTCCTTATAAAGACACTGTCTGAATTGTTGTCTTGGCAGTACTAAGACTTAAAAAAAAAAAAAAAACAAGAACACTAGCACAGTGAAGCAAATTTTCAAAGAAACACTTGCAAAATTCTGTGGGTGCTGAGCCAAAGAAATTACTTTTAATTTCCCTGATATCATCAGCTATTTTTTCCAGTGATATCCAAAGTAGAGAGAGACAATTCATTGGAATGTGGGGAGAAAATATTAAAACATCTAGACAAGTGATAAGAAAGCATCAGAATTCTATTTGTATTTTCTTTTATTTCAATATTTTTAATTATTTGTTGTGTATATTTTTCTAAATGTACCTATTCTACAAGTGTACCCACACAATTTATAAATTAATACATTAGGGCTTTTGTCAGTTTTCACAAGTAAGTGAAAAAAAAAAAAACCTGAATGCTACTCACTACTTTTTGTGGATATTGAAGACATCTGGTAAAAAAAGAAGGCTGTTATTATTTAACATAATATCACCCTTACTTTTTCACCATTATTCTCAGTGACCTAAATATAACTATATCCATATCAACTGAAAAGCAGTTTGCCCAGGTGAGTTTCAAACATTTGTTTTCTAGAATAATTTTGAAAGTATATGGACTGCCCTCTGCATTGTGCAGTATGAAAACTATTTTTAAAATTTATTTCTAGTATCATCACCTTTCTGTTTCCTTAAACACTGAAGTTTTTTTGAAATTGTGCTCATTAGGGATATGGTGAGAATTATTAGGGGACCAAGAGTTGACCACAAGGAACGGTGCTCACGATGTCACATGGCCATCGTGAAAGAAGAATGCACCTGTTACTGCATCAGGGTGGGATGAGTTCCACACCCTATTTTTTTTCTTTTTAATGATTTTATTTATTTATGCATACAAGAACTGGAATGCAGGCTAGAGGTGTGGCATATGATAGGAGTCACCTGAGACAGAGTGGGGGAACAAAAGAGATGGACTGATTGAAGTACACTGCTGAGGGGAGCAGCAGGCAGGAGGTAGGACAGGAGAGGTCTGCCACACCATGTGGGTCACCTCCCTGGCTGGGGATTGAACTCGTGCTGCAGTGGCTGCGAACAGCTTCATAGTGCTGCACTTTAACCCACTGATCCACCAGGGAAGGCCCTTCACACTTTTGTTTAAAGAAACTTTTATTTTAAGTAAAAGCTCTTTCTGAAGTATACATGTATGTGGCTTGCAAGGAGGTGACAGAATGGTACAGGACCTTATTGTGAAGATTAAAGGAAATTCTACATATGAAAAACATTTGGCACAGTGCCTAGGACAGAAGCTTCTGGAGTAGTGGCAATTATTATCATTTTTATTATTGCTCCCACTATTATTGTTATTGCCATGCAGTACACATGTATATAGTTCATTTTATGTCTCAAATATTCTTTTACTCACATACAAACGAGATTCTATATTTAACAACACATTAACATAGTAATAAAATACTTAATAACATTTTTTATATTTCCCAAATTACTCAAGTGATAATTTGGCAACAACTTGATGTACATGCCTCATAAAACTCAGGTGAATTTTTTTGAAAGAATAAAAATCAAAAACAGGGTAACAGAAGCCAAGAAGCAAGAATACTAATAGGATAAAACATCCCTATGAGTACCTCTGTCTTAGGCTGTGGAAAGGATGACTTTTTAAACATGGGATAGATAAGTATGTCATTGTAGGCTGAAATGTGCAACATGGCTTTGTGAAAGATTGGGTGCTATTGTTGGAGGGAGAAAAGCTTGTAAAATGACATTTCTACATGGAAGCCTCTGGAAGGAAGTGATTAAGATGATGCTGAAGGGACAGCATCTTGAACAAGTGTTAGAAGTTATTAGAGAGTCGGGCCCTCCTGGTGGCGCAGCGGGTTGGAGCCCAGCACTGCAAAGCTGGCCATGGCCACTTCAGTGCGAGTTCGATCCCCAGCCCTGGAGGTGATCCACATGGTGCAGCAGACCTCTCCTGACCCACCCGCTGCTCCCCTCAGCAGTGTAGTTCATCGATCTGCCTGTTCTGCTCCCCACTCTGTCTCTGGTGAATCCTCTCACTGGCCTGTATCCCAGTTCTGTATGTATATAAATAAAATCTTAAAAAAAAAAAAGAGGTTATTACAGAGTCAAGGGTGCTCAGGGAATATGTGAGGTGTCCTAATATTGCCTCACTCATAACTCTGCCTTATGATTTCTTGCGCATCTTACAGCAAGCATGTATGGCCATAACTTGTATATCATTCATAGGGAATGATAAACTGCAGGGAGGTTTTCTCTGCCACAGCAAATATTTTCAGCATGTCTCTTCTTGCCCTAAGTTTACACATGTATAGAAAAATAGAAATCAGTTTTTACTTGCAGTTGAAAACTATCATTATCACTCCACTTATTCTGAGGTTTTACTATTTGTATAGTAAAACTATACTTCCCTCTATAGTAAAACTTCTACTCTACTCCCTCTCTACTTTGAAAGGGTCAATCATACACAATGGCTGTAATTAGTAACATTGAGATTGACAGGAAAAGGAAGCACTTCTAGATGTTCCTTCTGGCGTATCAAGATCTGCAAAGCTATACTCAAAGACTCTAGTTAATATGCTTTTACAAGAGAGGAAGGCTTTGGTGTCATTCTCAAACCTACCACAATGATCACAATATCCAGACAATTCCAGAAACTCCTGAAATAGTGTAGCTTGTGAATGCGGATTTCCAGTATCTCTTCCACCACATAGTAAAGGATAAAGAGACAAAAGATAATCTCACAGGCTGCCAGGAAGAAATCAAAAGTTGTGACATATCGGATCAGCTTTACAGGCTGAAATTGCCAAGATGGAATCACACCGCCTGTTGCTGGGAATTCAACCAATAACCTGCATTGCAATAAGAACAATTAAAACAATAACAACAACACATCTGTGCAGCCAGGGAAGGACGTCCGTCTGCTCTGTTTCTGCACTGCAAGATAGTAAAACCGCTGCTACCCATTACCCAGACTAGTGGCAAAACCTTTCCACGGCAGCTCGTTACTCAACGCTTGTGGAGTTTGTGCTACAAAAGGAACAGGACTTCCTGAGGTCTCCTGAATTAAAGAGTGCTTCCTCCCCAGTTTTTCCCCCCCTTTATTTTTCTGCTCTCTATTCTGCTCAAAAATGCTGTAACTACTTTTATGTAGAAGATATTTAACAAACTAGCTTCTATTCAAGTTTCCATTAAATGCCAAGTCACTAAGCAATGAACAATATAAGAAATATGTCAGGCATTTAAAACACACATGATCTGGTTGAGAAGCAGAATATATATTTTACACATATATATAGGACCTGAGTTCCTAATTCATTCATTTGGTAACACCCAACAAGGTACAAATAGTTTCCCTTGGGGGTACTTCTGACTACCTCTCAAACCAGTTACAGTTTTCTAGGTGTCTAATTACAGTTAATAGGTAGATGTGACTTTTTGAAACAGTAATGTATATTTTTTACATTTATATGATGGCACTGATCTTTAGTGCTTTAGTATAATTTCTCGCAAAACTGATTTTGTAGGTGTCACTCTGAGAAAGTCAGGTGATTCATTTCATGGTAGCCTCCCTACTAAACAGAATCTCCAGTGCTTTTACTTTTAAAACTTTTGAAAGTCAACCAGTAGGCATAACCATCTCTCACATTATAGGATGGGGAGCCACACCTTGAACCTGAGACTCTAGGACTGGTGCAGAAGCAGCAATCAAGTGCAGGCAGGAACTGTGGCAAACTGGCCAAAGAAACATGGAAATTTCTCTTTCCTTTTCATTGTAAATTCTTCTTCTTCTTTTTTTTCCCCCCCCTGCTTGCTGTACTGGAGAGCAGGGATGAGAACCAAAAACTCAGGAAAGCAACACTGAAACTAAGTCTTGTGATTAAGTCTTGGGGCAACCTCACAAGGGAAGTAAGTGGTCTCTGTGTGCCGAGTCACTGCTCTCTGGCCTGTTTACACTGTGCATTTGTTACCCACTGCAGAAACTCAGACAAAGCTGTGGAGAAATGAAGTGTTTGCCTTGATAATATTTACCCCTAAAGTATGGGGAGGAAGTAAAAGACACAACCGACATCCTCAATGAATTTATGCTTCCTAAACAGTTAAATCGAGTTGCCTGCTAGCTTTTATCTCTTTCTTTCCTCACTAGAATCACTGGGAAGGTTCGATAATAACTGCAACATATTTTCTTTCATTTCCAATTATAAGTGTTACTGTTCTTAATGTGATATTTTCTGCAAAAGTTGCTAAATATAAGGACAGAGAAAATGCAATGGGCCTTGTAAAATGGAGTTGAACTTAGACTCAAAAATGATCACAAAATAAGGATATTATGAAAATTAATCCTTCTTAATTGGTGAATAGTTACATGTGCGTGTAATCCAAGTTGGCTACATTTGGGTGTTGCCAAGAGGATTTAAGTGGCTGAATTCCAACTGCCTTGCTCTACTTTTTCTTTTTTTTATAGCACTGATTACCTTCTATCATGCTATTTAATTCATTTCTTTATTGTTTCTTGTCTGTTATCTATTTCCCCCACAACTCTTCCAATTCTTCACTCACTGATGTATCCCAAGAGCATAAAGCAGTATTTGGCCTCTATTAAGTAGCCAATAAAATTTTGCTGGGGCCCCAGAGAAGCCAGAGGAACCTTTGTCAGTTTCCTAATTGTCACTTAAGTGGTCATGACATCAACTTTGCACGACCTGTAGAGGGTGCCTGTGGTTGAGTCTTGAATATGACAAGCACCTGGTATTCTACTGAACCCAAATGTAGCTAAATTGTGCTGTATTCTCACAGCATGGACATCACATCACCCCAAAGTGGGAAACTCAAGGAAATGAGTCAACATTTGATGGAGGCCTGTTGCCTGTGAGCATATAGGTCTGATCATTGTCATCAGAGATAAGACAAAGGTTAGAAAACAATGTGCTTTTTCTGAGAAGGCTCAGATGAACTTGGATCAAACTTAGGCTTCTTCCCAATAGAGAATATCCTTGAATCCTAGCTTCCTTCTCCCAAATACCCTTATGTCAATAAGCCTGCCATTTTCATCTCTCCTTTGCTTTCAAGCTCTAATCCTGGGTGCTCACAAATAGCCAACTGTAGGTGTATCTCTCGACTAAGATGTGCATATAATACACAGGGAGGGCAGGAGTAAGCGCCCTCAGTACACACCTGATCACGCAGAACAGGTTGATGTTGGCGTTGTACACAGAGAAGTCAATAAAAGTCGCCCTGGTTCCTCGGTCCAGCCAGACGTTTTTCTTGAGGTTAGCAACTTGAGCAGCTGCTTCCTCTCTTGTTCTTGATAAGTCCAAGTAGTAGCCAGCTCCACTGTAAGTTGCAATCATCCCCCAGTGGCTACTTCCATTCAAGTCTTTTTCACTCGTGTAGATCCAACTAATTCAAAAAACAATGCAAACAAAACAAGCAGGTGAAGTCAGGGGTACACGCAGGCGGCAATGATAAGACTGTTGGTTCCCGCTAAGAGAGCATGTGCCATCAGTAAGTTTAAGTCTGATCAAACAGGGTAATGGGCTTGGCATGGTGCTTTCTTATTTCATTCGCTGCAGCCAAGAGGCCAAGTTCATGAAGTGCCACCATTGATAATGGAGTTTATGACTACTCCATAGATCATGTGGGAATTGAATGCACAGATATATACAGAGGCTCACTTAGGAGCTAGATTCTTCGTTGGGGATATAAAGATGAACCAAGATCCTTTATCATCAAATTTATAACAAGTAGGGAAAGAATAGCTGTGATTAACTAAAAGAGAAGGTGGATGATTATAAGAACCCAAAGAGAAACTTTCCCAGAGGTAAGTTATCTTAGTTTGGTAGCCCAGTGATGGGAAAAGTGGATCTTAGACAGCCTCAGGTTGAAGCCTTGTTGCACCCAGGCATGGACCGTAAAAAGATTCAGCCTTGCCTGGTGGGAATGCAAACTAGTACAACCACTATGGAAAACTGTTTGGAGGTTCCTCAAACTGCTAAACATGGAGCTTCCCTATGACCCAGCAATCCCACTCCTAGGTATCTACCCAAAAGACACAAAAACACTGATTGAAAAAGATACTTGTACCCCCATGTTTATTGCTGCTTTATTTACAATTGGAAAAACATGGAAGCAGCCCAAATGCCCAAAAGTAGATGACTGGATTAGAAAGATGTGGTACATATATACAATGGAATATTACTCAGCAACCAAAAAAGAGAAACACATGTCTTTTGCAGCAACTTGGATGGAGCTGGAAAAGATCATGCTTAGTGAGATAAGCCAGAAAGAGAAAGAAAAATACCGGATGTGTTCACTCATAGCAGGAGTATAATGGACCAGGCGAGAAAATAACAAAAATAATGATCAACCATAGACCAGAGACATTCTGTGGGGGTGGAGTGGGGAATGGGATCAAAAACGGGGGGGTGGGAGGGAGGGAAATGCACGGGACTATGGTGGTGGCACAGGGGTGATTTGGTGATGGGAAACCCGTGGGGATTACAATGAAGATGAAAAAAAAAATGTGCAAAATGATGTAAAAATAAACTAAAAAAAAAAAAAAAGATTCAGCCTTGCACAGGTGCATGGGAAGGGCATTTTCATGGTGAGCTAGGCAAGGCCAGAGAGGTACACGGAACCCAGCCAGAAGTTTAGTTTGGCTCCCATATGATGAAGAGAAGGCTGAAAGTGTGTGCCGACTGCAGGGCAAGCATGGAGGTTGATGGAAAGCAGATAACAGGGATGATCTGGTGGCAGGGGAACAGCGAGCGTGAACAGAAAAGACTTAACTTTGAAGATCTGAGACATCTTTCCTGAGTAAAGTCTGCTGGCAAGCTTGACTGACCCAGAGCTTGGCTAATCAACAGCTCTCTTCATGGACAGAAACCTACCCTGTCTGATCAGAGTGGCTCACTGTGCCTGAGCTGTCCATAGGGAAAAGGTGGTTTATGCTGAACACAGGCTTCCTTCAAGGAGTCTAGGACTTTGGTTTGTGCGAGATTGAGCATGCCCATGTGACCATCCCTCAGGATCACTTAATGATAGAATTTCAAAGAGATGTCCCTGATAGACAACATTTCACACTGGAGAGATTCTGCACGTCCTGTGCAACAATGCAAGTGGAGACCTTTAAGATCATTATGCTTCGTTTCACCAGGCTTTGCCCCCTGGCCTGTGTCTCTCATTGTTTATACTTGACAGCTGCAATCAACTTAGAGAATATGACTGTCACGCTAAGTCCTGTGGAGCCTTCCAGTGAATCACTCAACCCACGTGTGGCCTTGGGAAGCCTGAACAGCTCAGGCAGCGACAGCCAAGGACAGGAGGCCGAGGCCAGAGTGATGATGGGAAGGAACGAGAAGGGTGGAGAGATGACACTGTGGTTACTGTTAACAGAACTTTGCGACTGATTTGGAAGCTGAAGCAAGGGAGTCCTCAATCTGATTCTGGAGTCTCTTTTGGGGTAAAGCAAAGATGGTAGTACCAGCAATGAGAAGAAGAGCAAGTCCAAGAGGAAAGTGATGAATTCAGTGAGACTCGCTGAATTACAGGAACTGGTGGGACATGTAGGTAGAATGAGTCTCTGAAAACAGGAGTTTGTTTCTGCTTAGTTTTCTGCTTTTTAGTGACCTCAGTCAGAACCAGGAAAGGGACCGCTCTTGGGCAACATGCCTGTGTGTTGACACTCAGTGCATTTGCTGATGAAGTAAGTCATCAGATAGAGATGGGAGTAGAAAGGATCTGCCTGTCAAGAGAAAGACAGGGATCTAAATGTAGAGCCTGGCAGTGCAAGTAGGGGAGATGGATGAAGAGGGTACAGAATTCAGAGAACCCAAAGTTTACTGTCATTCACAGCAGTCAAATGAATCAGGAGCCAACACTGCTGTTTCTGCAGATATGTTGAACAGGATGAAGACTGAGAATCTGTCAGCAGGCCTGCTAACTAGTGGTCACCAGTCACTTCCAAGCCATGTCAGAAGTAACAGTTTAAGTTTTAGGGGTGTATCAACAGTGAGGAAGTGAAGTCTATTTTCTCAAGAAGTTTGCAGTCGGAGAAGGGGAAATGGAAGTAACAACAGGGTCCAGGGGCCTTAACATCAGTTCATACAAGGCAGATTCCTCACCCCATAGTGGGATTTATGCGTTCATCCAAGCAACCTGCAGATGCTGAATGGGTATCTACACCCACCAGAACCACTCCACTCGCTCCAGCTATAGCATGGCTAGAACCCCTTCCCTCGGGAATTGTGGGTGTTGAGGGGAGCTGAGGGTAACACAGGCACTCTAAGGCATAATGAAATGCACAAGGGACATTTTGGAGTTTTGAAGTTCGTGTAAATTTCTGCTTTGTTCCAATTTTAGCTCTGAATTGGCAGTGTCTCCATTTTTTCATCCATAAAATGGGGATGATATCGATTTCAGTATTATTTTGTGAAGAGTAGATGAAATAATGCGTGAAATCACTTCTTAAATAGTGATGGACAAGTGATAATATAAATTCATTAATGGCAAATATACAGACCACTGGCAAATAAAAACCACCACTTGAGGTCAACTTATGTTTTGTAGTTAAGAGAAAAAGGAACATTTAAAAGCAAAATTATTATGCTAACCTGGAAAAGATGTCCTCTGAGATGATTTAATCCCTTTACTCTCCTATTTTACTAAGTTTCCTTTTTACATACCCTGGTACCACATAAGATATGTACAGGTAACAGACAAAGAGTTTGAGCATGGACAAGGTGTTTGCCTCCCATGGACAAGGTGTTTTCTGGATTTTCAGTTCCCAGTAAAAGAATCTAGATGAATTGACAGAAATTGTTTCATGAGACAATTCTAGCCAAAATCACTCCCCCCGGGACACTGTCTCCGAGATGTGCAACATAAGGTTGAGAGCTCTTCTTATTACTTTATAAAGCTACTGCCATTCCAAAAATAACTGTCCGCCCTAACACAAAAGTTGTTTAAGCACGATTACCAAAGGGGACAAAAATCTGCAAATATACAGATTACAAATACATACTCAAATCACAAGCACACAGATGAAAGACAGGCTTATGTCAGACAGAAAAGCTGTCTCACAAAAACTAATTGCCAGAAGGTGATAAAAAACATTTTCTTAGTGAACAACCTAGTAAATGAAGTACTGGATCTGTAAGAACAGAGTGCAGTCATCTCAAATGAAACCTCTGCTGAGAGGGGTAAAAATAAGAGAAAAACTTCAGAAACCGAAGGTCCTTTCTTAAGCACAGCCTTTGGTATAAGCATTGAAAACTCACAGAAGGAGCCTGAGGAGGAATGACTGAGGCCAGGACACGTGGCCGTGAGCCACACTTACGCAGTTCCGTTTCGAGGACCGAATGGAGCCCTGTCTTCACTGCTGACAGAGTAGACGTCGTAGCACTCTTTAATCTCCTCTCTCAAGTCCTGCGGAATCGAACAGGAGCCATTTCTGACTTTGAGTTGCCGTATACGTGCTACGCCCAGCAGGAGGTTTTCATAGTAGATGAAGCTTCGGTTGTCGGCTTCGGTTCCATTGCTTGGCTGTGCCTTCCAGTACAACCCGTCCAACAAGGCGCCCCCTGTGAACTGACAGCAAAGAGCACATTTTTGAAGGGCCCACACTTGCTCGCTGTGAGGTCTTGGGTAGGGGTCCCCTTTGAGCCAGGGTTCCCACAACCGTAAAAAAAACATCTTTTGCTCAGTTGCTACACTGGGCAGAATGGGTGTTCAATACATCATAACCTGATTTTTGTTCTAGACTTAGTGGGGGGTTGGGATAGTGGGGACCCTGCACAAATCCCCAGCCAGGATCAAATTCTTTCCCCCTTGCTGAAACAGCATCCCATATAACTGTGGTTCTAAACTTGTAGGAGATGAAGTGACCATAGCTTGAAGTACCCATCTGCCACCTGGTGGATTTTTTAATTGTCTGTACCCTTATGCCACATGGTAAATTCTCCAACCCACGGCTGCAACTTTTTTGGTTTGGCATTTCTTATCATGGAACTGTGGCTATGTGACAAGTCTCTCTCGTTAGTTTGCCAGTAGGGAAGATGGCTAGCTCCTTCTCAGAACCTTATCAGATGATCAATTGAGATGTACAGATTGGCCCAGCTGAGGTGAGGAAAGACGTATATTACATAAGTGTGGTCTGGGTGCCAAGTGTTTTTACGCATTAGTATTAATACATTTCTGTGATCCAGTTTTCTATCTTTAACATCAACAGCTTTGATTCCAGGTTTTAGTAAGAATGACTAAAGTATCTCTCCAGAAAGAAACAATCATTTCCTTTCCAGTTTCCTTCCCAAATGTCTTAGATTCCAAGAACCCTATCTTCCCCATCAGTTGAACATAGTATCTCTCCTGTGGTGTCACTCATTGCTCCTCTGTCACTATGTTGGAATTTGAGATAATCTGTGAAGGGGCTGGGTGGGAATTCACACCAGAGATCTTTGATACAACATGCTTGCCTTGTACATGCCAGCAGAGACAGAAACAAAAGACAGACAAAGCAAGACAAAGGAGCCAGCTTCTGCCCTGAAGGGGACTTATGTCCTACTGCTCAACAGATTCTTAACTTGTGAATGACTAAACGAAGTATAAACTACCATAAGATGTGTCTAGGCTAGACAAATGTGTGAGGCTAGGAAAAAATGCATGCTTCTTACTTCTTAGCTATGCGTAAGCACTCTAAATCTTGGTTTCTTCATGTACAGCCTGAAGCCTAAGATTAGCACTTAGTTTAGTGCTTAGATTAGCACCGTGGAGATTGACCCAGTAAGGTATGAAACCCAGGGCCAGGTACATGCACAGTTCTTGGTAAATGTTAGTTTACCCCACTAAGAGGGTAGGAACACTAACTCTGAACAATCCACCAGAAGTTATAACTTCTCTCATACTGTTAAGTGCAAAGCAGGCCCTGTAGAGACCACTGAATTGAATCTAGGAAGAGAAATGCATCATTTCCAGTGGAAAGAGTTACTTCCAAAGTTATTTGCAAATACCTTCCAGAAGTCCTCCATTGAAGAAAGAGTTTTAAAGTTAGTTTTCTCCGTTTTGGACACTGGGGTGTCTAGGAAGAGCTGTGACATTACCCGGGTATAGTAGTAGACGCTGGAGCTCATCATCCCGTAAGTCACTGGAACACAGAAAGACACATGAACTCTGCAAGGGATCGTCACATTCCAGGAGGATGAGCAGATACTCACAAACTCTGTTTTTCCTTTTCCCAATCATTCTTCTGTGTTATCTGTCAAGATCTCTGGCTTAGAAAATAATTAAATTAATTATAGATTTTGCAAAACAAAATTGGCTAATGATTGAATGTCAACTTCAGATCGGCAGCCTTTCTCTAACCCTGGGACTTACACTGCCTATCAGTTTCGTCTCCTGCCACTTCCCGGATAGGTGCCCCAGGCCAACAAGCTGATGGGCGCAGAACTTCAGTGGGACCAAGCGCCTCAGCTAGGTCTGCACACGTGCTGCCCACTCTGCAATAAAGTGGCACTACTCACTCTGTGCCCAGATCAATTCTCTGGGCTTTATGCCCAGCTCTGTGCCCTCAGGCTCACCTCTACAGACTCACCACAGGGGCTCCTTCTCCTTTGGTTTCTAACACAGTCAGCCAATAGGAGGTCAAACAGGAGATGTAGAGCCACGGAGAGAAAGCTGGAATCATGCATGCCCTTTGCTCCTGCTCTCCATTCCCTCACCTCCTGGATGTACTATGGCTGGGGCCCTCTACCCCAGGCCACGGCTGCTAGGGAATCTCTTTTCCCAAACTACACTGGATTCATGCTGCGCCACTGTCCCCCTTGTCCCCACAGGCCTGGAGATGGTGGCCTTTCCTGAGTATTTCATCTCCTTTTGCTGGTCCTTGCGACTCTGCTCCACTGCTGTACATATACTCTTCCTTTTCCTTTAATGCCCACTGTGGGTTTTCTATCTCTTTCCTTCCAGATTGTTGACAGACACAGATGCATCTGCCTCCCACCTACCTATTCAGTTTTTTTTGGAAGCCTCTAGACTCAACTTATACCCCTGTTGCGTAGACCATCGCACTAGCCCGCCCTGAATGGACTGAAGGGAGCTGGAGATAATTTATAGGTTTAATAGGCTACAGGAAACAAGGTGTGAATCTTGGCCATGCTTCCCACTTGGTACATGACCTGTACATTGCTTAAACTTTCAGTTTCCTCTTCTGGAAGATGGAACAATTAGTAATTCCATATGATTTGGGGGTGTTTAAATAAAAACAACTAAGTTATCCAACACAGTGACTGACATTTAGATGTCCTCATATTTCCATAGTTACAAATTTCAGTACTTTTAACAGTATTGTCTTATGATATGATTCCTACAGTTAGGACAAAAAGCTTCAAGGGAAAGGAAACATGTTTACACTTCTTTTGGAATACAGTTCTCAACACCCAGCAGGTCTTTGGTACTTAATACTTAACTGACTTTTTATTGCTCTTTAAGCATGTTGAAATACCTTAAAAACTCTTAATAAGTGATTTTAAGGTAAAAAATCACTTCAGTAAAATGAAATGTTTTTTAGTAAAATCTCTCTCCCACCGCATCACTGAAAATTAAAATTATTAAAAGAGAGTAGATAATAGTGATTCAAGCACAAGAGTGTTTTGGAGTCCATCTCAAGCCAGCAGTGCAGCAACAAGACACATCATCTATGTGGCTTGTGGGCCATGTCTAGAAGAAAAGGGATGTTTTCTGGTCTCTTTAGTTATGGTCCCTAACCTGTCACTTCTCAAAATTGTGCTGAATGAGAATTAAAGGCCTAGACCTAATCCATTCATATTTATGGGACAGTGGTGAGTTGTGAACATGGACAAGATGCAATCTCTGCCCTTAAGGAGCTCATAGTGTCCCTGGGGAGAGTGCTGCCCACTCCCCCCACCCACAGAGGCACAAGCTGACAGGGTACTGATGGGTAGTAGCGAAGAATCCACAAGGACAAAGAAATGATTACTAAGTTGACTTTTTCAATTGATTTGAATTTAGAATTTGCTTTGGATTGACTGATTCATAGATATTATTCTGGAACTTTTTTCTTTTTAAAGGTTTATTTAAGTATGCATACAAGTACTGGGGCCTATGCCAGATGTGTTGGAATCGGGTTTAGAGGATTCATCAGAGATAGAGTAGGGAGCAGAACAAGTGCATCTACTGAAATACGTTGCTGAGGGGAGCAGCAGGTGAGGCAGGAAAGGTCTGCTGTGCCATTTGGGTCACATCCCTGCCTGGAGATGGAACTTGTGCTGTGGTGGCTGCAGATAGCTTCATAGTGCTGAGACTTAACCCTTGTGCCACCAGGGAGGTCTCATATTCTGGAATGTTTACCTGTCGGATTTTTGATGGCAAACAGAAATTTTGACAAATTATTGAAAATTTGTAACACATAAATGTATATGTAAATATAAGTATGTTAGCCACTGAGTTAAGAGAGCATCGCCTTTATTTTCCTACACTTTCAATATAGGTTTTTGCTTTTGAAACTCAGGATCTTTATGGAATTTGACTTCACTGAAAGTGATGTGACAGTCCCATTTGGCTGTAGCACCACCTTCTGGACATCCAGAGTAACAATGCTATTTCCTTTGAAGCATGATTATTCTAACACACTCAATCAGCAGACATAACTCAGTCTCCACTGTGTCCCAAGTCTAGGCTGGTCCAAGGGATGCCTGTAAGTAGTAACTCCATATGCTCCAAGAAACAGCTATCCTGTGAGTTTGCTTGGCTAGAACTACATGATGTGCAGTCAGAATAATCTGACTTTCACTTTTCTTCATCCTGAGTATCTATCCCTATGTTCATATTTGTAGATCTCAGTGTCTTAGAAAACAACTAAAGTTTTCTAAAACTGAATTTCATTATATAAAAAATGGCAATAATAACATCTAGGGCTTCTGTGCAGTGAAACTAGAGAATTGTATGTAAAGACATTTTGTGTGCTATTAAATTCAATAGCAATATAACATTTTATGTAGTTTCTACTCAGTCTGTGGTGTAGGAAGACCACTTGGAAGTTCCAATGTACAAAGAAAAAAAAAAGGAAAATAATAAGTAAGTATAAACAGTGAGAGGAAAATGTGATAGAAATTTGACAAAAATCTAAGCCTTAAAGATTAGTTAAAAAATAAAAACTCATTGGCCCTCTCTGGTGGCACAGAGGGTTAAAGCACAGCACTGAGAAGCTAAAGCCGCTTCCCCATGAGTTCGATTCCCGCCTGCCCTGGAGGTGACCACATGGCGTGGCAGACCTCTCCTGACCCGCCCGCTGCTCCCCTAGCAGTGTACTTTGTCGATCTGCCTGTTCTGCTCCCCACTCTGTCTCTGGTGAAGCCTCTCGCCGCCCCTGAGCTTCTGGCCTGTACCCCAGTTCTGTATGCACAAATAAATAAATCTTTAAAAAAATAAAAAATAAAAAATAAAAACTCATCTCTTGAATTTTTATGAGAATTAATCAAAACAAAGTAAAGATAAATTGAGAATACATGTAGTAGATACATATTGCATATAAAATGTGTTTAAAAGGTGTTAACTGCTATTATAATCAAAGGCAATTTTAAACTAAATAATGAGTTAAATAAAACTGTCTTATATTGATAGATGATATATGTAGTGATTTAACTATGAGCTCTATTGAATACCAACTTCAAGCAATGTAAAGCAATACTTTCTAGCAACATAAGGATAACTAACAGAACTAACAAAACCACAATCATGTATGGAAACTTAAATATATATCTCTCAATCTGGACAGAGAAAGCTGACCAACAATATCTAGGGATATTAGGGGTTTTTGTTGTATATATGACTTGATGCATATATATCAAAATTTATAACCATACCGAAAGAGATCACTCATTTTTTTTTTAAATATACATGTAATATTCACAAACATTAAGAATATGGTCGGCACAAAGTAAACATTAGTAAATGCCTAAAATTAAGACTGAACGAGGGCACTGTCCTTAGAGGGAGATGGCCATGTGAAGAACAACAGACACAGGAAAAATAGGGGTCAAGTCAAGGATGCCAAAGATTAACAGAAGCTACAACAGAGGCAGGGAATGATTCCCCTCTGGACTTCAGATGCAGCATGTCCTTGCTGAAGTTGCATTTCAGGCTGTTAGCCTTCAAACTGGGAGCCACAAATTTCTGTTGTTTTTAACCAACAAACAAAACAAAACAAAATATATCCCACCCCACCCCACACACCAACCAAGAAATATTTATCCCAGAAATCTAAATTTAAAAGAAAAATATGCACAGATGAAAAATTAAGCCAATTAAAAATTAAATTATTTCTTTCTCAAGTAACTCTGGTTCAAAGAAGAAATTAAAACAGCCACACAATTAAAAATACACCAGATTCAAAGACAGCAGATCAAGGAGCCCTAATCCCAGAGTCCCAGTTCATCTGGCACAAAGCGAAACCATTACCCACAGAGAGACCTGACTTCTTCACCAGTCTTGTGTTACTGTCCATGTCCTTCTAGAGATGTAGTGACGGTCAAGGAACAGGTGTCTGAAACATCTCTATAAAAGTGTTAAAGAAATCCAAAATCATAGAGACAGCAATGAATGATTAGGCTGGAGCTGCTTTAGTCATCATATTAGTAAAAGTTTGTGTATTAATGAAGTACAGGGACCACGAGAGAATGGGAACAGGCTAAGTTGTCAACATTTAGTGAGATCTGCTATGTGCAGCTTCTGAGGTGACTTACTGTCCCCCCTTCTCCTAATGGTGACAGAAGCACAAACTAGCTCGCAATCCATGTGAGGAGTGACATAACAGTCATATTGGGGTGTTATGTCACTTCGGCTTGGGGAAGAGGCTGGTTGGTAATGGGTTCTCTGGAGGTCTGGTTCTTGAGGTGATCTTTGATGGATGAAGAGAAGTTACGATGGGGAGGCAATAGCATAGTGAGCATCTTTTAAGACTCACAAGTGACTTGAAGGACCAGCTGTTGAAGTACAAGGTGATCACAAAGAGTGGAAGTTCAGAAGATGAAAACAAGAACATATAGAGAAATGCTAGACTATTTTTGTAAACATTTAAACTTCTCTTGGAGGGGTCAAAATAATTGGTCAAATGGAAGAGTGACCAGG